CGGCGGCGTCGTCGTCGTCGTCGTCGTCGGCGGCGGCATCGTCGTCGTGGTCATCGTCGGCGTCGGCGTCGGCGTCGTCGTCATTGTCGTCGGTGTCGTCGTCGTCGTCGTTTTCATCGAAGTCGTCGAAGTCGTCGTCGGTGTCGTCGTAGTCGCCGTCGGCGTCATCGTCGTCGCTTTCGTCGTCGTCGGTGTCGCTGCCAAATGCCATGTGGTACCTGCCGGCACGGTCTTAAAAGGTCGTGCTACCGAGTCGCGGGTGGGAGGGTGGGACGTTTGCACGACCAGTGGAGAGTACAGCACCAAGACTGTCAAAGTAGACTGCTCCACATAGATTCTCCTTTCTAAAAAGAGAATAAGACTCTACCCCCCCCGGATTTATCGGTTCCCCCTGGGACAGTAGAAATTCGTATATATTCTGCACACTCGTCCATCCTAAATATGAAACCGCACCATCCCAGCCAGGCCGGGCTCCCCCCCCTGAGGTTTCCTTGTAAAAAACACAATGCGGTGACATGTTTTGTTCTAACATAGCACTTTTTCGCGAATCCCTTGCAAAAAACGAGACGAAGTGCACACGCGCGCGTCGTCGCGCGCGCATGCCGAAATCCTTCAAACACCTTCGGTGCGGGAAGGATTTCGCAATCGAATTTCCAACAAGCATACAAAAACACAAGGTTTCGCAACACAGACTTGCGAAAAAAGCTTCCGCGGAAGCTCTTGCGAAATCTTGAGAAAACCACTGGTTTTTCAAGATTTTCACAAAATGCTACCAAACGGGCTTCGCGCGCGCTCATGCCGAAATCTGTCGAACGCCCTTGCGCGTGTGCCGTCGCGGGAATCCCCTGCAAAAAACTGGGACGAAGTGCAGACGCGCGCGTCGTCGCGCGCGTACGCCGAAAACCTGCAAAACCCATCGGTTTCGGAAGGATCTCAAAATCGTGTGTGTCCAAAAAACATACAAAAACACAAGGTTTCGCAACACGGATTTTCAACAGAAACGTGCGCGCGCGCTCTTGCGTCGTCGTCGTCGTCGTCGTCGTCGCCGTCCTCCCTCCTCCCGCGTCGTTGTCGTCGTCGTCGTCGTCGTCGCCTACGTCGTCCTCTGTCTTTCCTCGTGTTCGTCGTCGTCGTCCTCTTTGGCGTCGTGGTCATCTCCGTCGTCGTTGTCGCCGTGGTCGTCCTTCCTCCTCCTCCCTCGTCGTCGTCGTCGTCCGTCGTCGGCGTCTCGTCGTCGTCCCTCCTATTTCGTCGCCGTCGTCGTCGTCGTCGTCGTCGTTGTCGTCGTCGGCGTCGTCTTCCCTCTTCCCTCGTCGTTGCCGTCGTCGGCGTCGCCCTCCTTCCTCTTCCTTCGTTGTTCGCGCCGTCGCCGTCCTCCCTCCTCCCTCGTCGTTGTCGTCGTTGTCGCCGTCATCGTCCTCCCTCCTTCCTCATTGTGTTCGTTGGCGACGTCGTCGTCGTCTTCGTCGTCGTCGTCGGCGTCGTTGTCGTCTTCGTCGTCGTCGACGTCGGCGTTGTCGTCGTCGCCGCCGTCGTCGTCGTCGTCGTCGACGTCGTCGTCGTCGCTGGTGTCGTCGTTATCGTCGTCGTCATCGTCGTCGTCGTTGTCGTCGTCGTCGTCGGCATCGGTGTCGGCGTCGTCGTCGTCGTCGGTGTCGTCGTCGTCGTCGTTGTCGTCGTCGAAGTCGTTGGAGACGTCGTCGGTGTCGTCGTAGTCGTTATCGGCGACGTCGTCGTCGTCGTTGTCGCTGTCGTCGTCGGCGTCGCTGTTGTTGCCAAGTGCCATGTGGTACCCACCGTCACGGTCTTAAGAGATTTTGCAAACCAAGTTGCGGGTGGGTGGGTGGGATGTTTGCGCGAGCAGTGGGGTGGACAACTCACTGCGAACAGAAATTAGTTGCACCAAGTAGATTGCTCCACATAGGTGGCACCACATATATTGCTAGAAACAGACTGGTTGGGGTCCACGCTGGCTAACATGATTACTACTGGGAATCCTGGCCCTCCTCCTCCACCTTATCCTCCTCCTCCTCCTCCTCCTCCCCCTGCGCATCCTCACCATATTCGGTTTCCTCCTCCTCCTCATCATCATCATCTTCTTCCTCCTCCAACTCCGCGCCAAGCTTCTCCTTCGTAGTCCGTGCTCGCCTTCCTCCGCCTCCTCCTCCTCCAGCTCTTCCTTTTCCTCCTCTTCCTTTTCCTCCTCCTCTGCCTCCTCCTCCGCCTCCCCCCCCCGCTCCTCCTCCTCCTCCTCCTCCTCCTCCTCCTCCTCCTCCTCCACAATTACTCAATATGAATACTACTCTCCCTCTTCCCCCGATGGCGGCCTGAAAATATTAGACCCCCCGCGTACTGTTTTTTACACACAGGATTCCCGGGAGTTGGGTTTTCGCCTGCTTCTTTTCAAAATGCTGCTCTCGCTGAGGCGCCGGCCGGCGTCATTTCTGTTCCCGAATCGTTCCGAATCGTGCTCCCGCTGCAGCGTGGGCCTCATTTTCTGATGGGTGTTTGGCCTCCGTCGTTCAGGATGGCGTTCTCGCCCCAGCGCGGGCCTCCTTCTCGCGCGCCCATCCGCCCGCCACCACCGCGCCGCCGCACCACCACCACCACCACCACCACAACCACTACCAGCACCAGCACCACCACCACCAGCACCAGCACCAGCACCAGCACCACCACAACCACGCACACACACACGCACGCACGCACGCACGCGCACCACCACCCACTACGCACGCGCGCGCGGAGCCACAGGTCCGCTACGACACGCGTCCGCGGATAGAGAAGAACAGCGCCATGGTAAGGGATGGGAGGGAGGGGTAGGACGTCAGATATGACGCGAGCGCACCTAGCTTGTCCTCCTCCTCCTCCTCCTCCTCCGCCGTCTCCTCCTCATCAGCAACAGCAGCCGCAGCCTCATCATCGTCATCATCAACATCGTCGGCATCAGCCATCATCATCATCATCATCATCAGCAGCAGCAGCAGCAGCAGCAGCATTATCACCATCATCATCACTAGCAGCATCATCAGCCTCATCAGCATCAGCATCAGCATCATCACCATCAGCATCGTCATCGGCAGCATCATCATCAGCGGCGTCATCATCAATATCAGCAGCAACAGCATAATCATCATCACCATCATCATCATCCTAATCATCACCCGCATCGTCATCAGCATCGTCGGCATCGACCGCATCAGGGCCATCAGCAACATCAGCAGCATCAGCATCACCAGCGACATCAACATCACAATCAGCATCATCATCCGCATCACCACAATCAGCATCGTCAGCATCATCATCCTCATCAGCATCATTACCATCATCAGCATCAACATCAACATCAGCATCATCATCCGCATCATCCGCATCATCAGCATCACCATCATCAGCATCAGCATCAACGACGTCGCCAGCATCATCATCAACAGCGTCGGCATCATCGTCGGCATCAGCATCAGCATCAGCAGCATGATCAGCAGCAACAGCAGCATCATCTCCATCATCAGCAGCATCATCATCATCACCATCATCATCATCATCATCATCATCAGCATCAGCCTCAGCCTCAGCCTCAGCATCAGCATCAGCATCAGCATCAGCATCAGCATCATCATCATCATCATCATCATCATCATCATCGTCGCAGACATCATCATCACCAACATCATCACACACATCAGCGTCATCAGTATCAGCATCACCACTATCATCATGATCGTCCTCACCATCCACATCAGCATCATCATCATCATCACCATCATCATCAGCGTTCTCATCATCGCCGCCATCAGCATTATCATCAGCCGTACCATCATCAGCGTCATCAGCATCGTCATGGTCATCAGCGGTAGAATCATCATCACCACCACCAGCATCATCAGCAGCATAATCACCATCATAAGCAGCACACCCACTGTTATCAGCAGCGCACGTATCAGCATCATCAGCACCAGTAGCATCAGCATCATCATCATCATCATCATCACCACCACCATCATCATCATCATCACCATAAGCATCATCACCATCAGCATCAGCAGTAGCATCATCGCCATCGCCAGCATAGTCATCATCGTCATCAGCAACATCAGCAGCACCATCAGCATCATCATCATCATCATCATCAGCATCATCAACAGCAGCATCAGCATCAGCACCACGATCAGCATCATCATCATCGTCATCAGCATCGTCATCATCAGCATCACCATCGGCATCTTCAGCAATTTGATCTTCAGCATCTTCATCTCCTCCTCCGCATCCTCCTCCTGCTCCTCCTGCTCCTCCTCTTCCGCTTCCTCCTCCTCCTGCTCATCCTCTTCGTCCTCCCCCCCGTCCTCCTCCTCCTCCTCCTCCTCCTCCTCCTCCTCCTCCTCCGCATGCTCAGTCTCCTTCTGCCTTTCCCCCTCCACCTCCTCCTCCTCCTCATCATCCTCCTTATCCTGCTCCTCCTCCTTCTACTCCTCATCCTCCTCCTCCTCCCCTTCCTCCTCCTCCCTCCTCCTCTTCCTCCTGCTCCTCTTCCTCCTCCTCCCTCCTCATTCAGCAGCACATCATCATCATCAGCATCATCATCAGCAGCATCATCATCAGCAGCATCATCATCATCATCATCATCATCATCATCATCATCATCATCATCATCATCATCACCACCACCACCACCACATCATCATCATCATCATCATCATCATCATCATCATCATCATCATCATCATCATCATCATCATCATCATCATCATCATCATCATCATCATCATCATCATCATCATCATCATCATCATCATCATCATCACGATCATCAGCATCAGCATCAGCATCAGCATCATCATCATCATCATCATCATCATCAGCATCAGCACATCAGCATCATCATCAGCAGCAGCATCATCATCCCCATCCCCATCATCATCCTCATCCTAATCCTCCTCCTTCTCGTTCTCCTCCTCCTCGTCATCCTCCTCCGCCTCTTCATTTGCCGCTGCCCGGGGGACCGTGCTTACCGAGCAAGCATCAGGCTTGAGGCTGCACTACGTTGCTGCGCAGTCCCCGTTCGCCTGCGTGGCGGCACGCGCTCGAGCCACACGGGGGAGGCTGCGCCGATGAGCGGTGAGCGAGCGGCGAGCTGCGGCGGGCGTGGTCAGCAGCTGACTGTTGCATCGCGTGGTCCTGCTCTTGCCGCTCATTTGGCTGCTGCTCCTCGGCGTCAACGTCGCTGCCCTCCTCCTCCTCCTCCTCCTCCTCCTTCTCCTCCTTCTCCTCCTCATCCACCTCCTCCTCCTCCTCCTCTTCCTCCTCCTCCTCGTCTTCCTCCTCCTCCTACTGCTCCTCCTCCACTTTCCTTGCTCGTCATCCTCCTGTTCTTTCTCCAGTTCCTGCTCCTGCTCCTGTTCCTGCTCCTGGTGTTCGTCCTCCTCCTCCTCCTCCTCCTCTTCCTCCTCCTCCTGCCAGAGGCCATGGGCCTCGCAAGCTAGCACGAATCCTCGTTCGATGAGTTTGTATAGAGAGTTCTCGTATACGTGAAAGCCCACACCTCGGAGCGAGTGGTGCAAGAGAAGGAAATGCCCCCATGCCAGCGTAAGGGCAATGGCCTTGCCGACCAGTGGACAACGAAGGGGGGCGCTCCTGCCCGTTCGGAGTTCAGTGACGCGCATGTCTTGGAAGGGTGCATGGCGGTGGCATCTCAGATTGGTGGGTATGTCGTCATGGTCTCGAAGCTGATGGCCGATCGCGAACTTAGAGACCATTTGGATCCAATGCGCCTCAGAAACATCGATCTTGGGGCTTGGCCCCCCGATGTGCCCTATCCTGAGTCCGATCCTGGTTCGGGGGACGAGCCCGAGGAGCCTCGGGAAGGCTCGGGGTGCAGGCCCTCTGGAGGTGCTCCCCAGGGCCCAGGGCTCATCCAGGACCACCAGGTGTTGCTTCAGAGCCCCCTGTGTTTTGCCACTGGTGCGGACAATAGCACGCCTTGCCGTCGCTCGGACGTCCAGTCCCTGCGTTTTTGTTCGGTTTCGTGCGTGGTTTTCGCCAAATGATCAAGGCTGCTCCTCGATGGCCCTCGCCGAAGGAAAAATGCACACGTCCGAGGGATGCCAAGACGCTTTGTTTCCTCCTGGCCGGCAGGGACCCAGGCGCTCACGTGTCGACGTTCGTCGGCTCTCGGGAGTTGAAGCCTTGACCGCGCGGAACCGGTTGCAAAGCTCGAAGCACCCGACTCGCCCCGAGGTGGCCCTTGGTTGAGCAGTGACCGACCGTCCCGGCATTCCTATAGTCATACCACGACATGTTCTCAGAACCCAAAAATGTTCTAAGAACGAAAACAATGTTCTTAGAACATCAACCCGATGTGATTAAACAGGACAGTCTCCGCCAGAAATGTTCTAAGAACATTTCGCGGAAGCCACAAAAAAGGTTCTTAGAACAGTGTGGGGTAGGGCTATAGGCGAGCCAGGGCGCTTCGCCGCTGCTTGACTTGGGGATGGTCGACCGCCGTCACTCAAGGGGCCCAAGCACACACAAAGGAATACACACAACAAAAATATATGCCCCATATCTTCCTGTAGCTTCTGGGTCTTTGTCTCCCCCCCCACTTCCTATATTTCCCCATATTTTCGGGGGACTCGACGATCAAGGGCTCCCAGCTTCGCGCTTCGCGCTGCGCGAAGCGCGAAGTGCGAATAACTTCGCGCTCTCGCGCCGCCTCCAGTGGAGAAGAGGAGGAAGAGGAGGAATCGGAGCGGAACCGCGAAGCGCGAATAACTTCGCGCCCTCGAGGGCGCCCATAACGATTCATTGTGTCTGTGTGTCTGTGTGTGTGTTTTCCCCTCCTGAGTCGCTGCTGTTCGCGGCCCGCGGGGCGGGCCACTCAAGGGGAGCCCGCGGCCCGCGCGCGAGCGGCGACGGGCGCGACCCCCGCGCCTCTCCGGCAGGGGCCACTGCCGCGGGCGGCCCTGGCTGCGCTCCTCCGCGCGCCTTTTCGGACTTTTTTTTCCCACTTCCTATATTTCCCCATATTTTCGGGGGACTCGACGATTCATTGTGTCTGTGTGTGTGTTTTCATCCCCGACGAGGTCGTCAAAAAAATGACGAGGCCGAGCCTGCATTTTGACGAGGCCTCCCGCTGCAGACATCCCACGAAACTCCTCCTCGTCAAAATCCGAGGCGCGGTCGTCAAAAAACGATGGCGAACCCGAGTCCTGGCAAACCCGGGTCTTACGCTCCCCCGATATATTTCCCCATATTTCCGGGGGAATCGACGATTCATTGTGTCTGTGTGTGTGTTTTCCCCTCCCGAGTCGCTGCTGTTCGCGGCCCGCTGGGCGGGCCACTCAAGGGGAGCCCGCGGCCCGCGCGCGAGCGGCGGCGGGAGCGACCCCCGCGCCTCTCCGGCAGGGACCGCTGCCGCGGGCGGCCCCGGCTGCGCTCCTGCATGCATGCATACACACATGCATGCATGTATGCATACATACGTACGTAAGTATACACTTACATACACGCATACATGCACGCATGCGTACATACATACATACATGCATACATACATACATACATACATACATGCATGCATGCATGCATGCATGCATACATGCATACATACATACATGTTTTCGTGAGTACATGCGTACATACACATACACACAGACATACACTAATACACATATACAGTCACACGTGCATACGCATACATGCATACATACACACATGCATGCATACCTGCATACCTGCATACCTACCTACCTACCTACCTACCTACCTGCCTGTCTACCTATCTGCATGTATGCATGAATGTATGCATGCATACGCACATGCATACATATATTAATCTTTATTTGTATATATATATATATACACATATATTCACACACGTAGACATCTACAGCGATACAGAGAGAGTGAGAAGCCATACAGGGCGTGCTTCAGAGGATAGCACTGACGGGAGACCATCAAGAGACTCAAGAAGAGAGAAAGAGAGAGAGAGAGAGAGAGAGACCACGATGGAGACCAGTGACAGGGACTGGGAGACCACGAGTCTGCGGCTCCGGACCTGGAGCATCTCACACACTCGGGGATGGACAGACCTCCCTTTAGTAAAACGTGGTTTAGTGAAAACGACCTGAGGCCCAGACCTGGCGGGCGCAAGCCTGGAAAATAACGGCCACGGCGCCCTCTCGAGAACCGAAAACGGACAATTCACTAATCGACGTGTCACTGTTGGGGGTTCTGTCCAGCCCCGAACGATGGAGACCAATGACAGGGACTGGGAGACCACGAGTCTGCGGCTCCGGACCTGGAGCATCTCACGCACGCCCCCCGTAGGAACAAGGAACGGCGACACCAACACCACCAGGGCGAGGAGGTGCGAGGAGGCAAGGGGGGCATCCCTGGTGGTGTGGTCCCCCCCTCTCGCTCGAGACATCCCCAGCCTCCAGCTCGGGGAGGCATCGTGGACCTCCTCGCTGGAGGCTGGCCCCCTGGTGGTGCTGGTGTCGCTTCTCCTCCCTCCGACCCCGAAGCTCTCTACAGGACCTGTGCGGACGAGCTTCGGAGCAGGGCGAGCCGAGGCGACAGCGCCTCGAAGTCCGTCCCCCCGAAGGCCAACTGTACCGCCGCCTCGGAGCTCGCCCTCCTCCGAGAGCTGCTCAGAGGAGGAGGAGGAGGAGGAGGAGGAGGAGGAGGAGGAGCAGGAGGAGGAGACGGAGGAGGAGGAGGAGGAGGAGGGTAGGAGGAGGAAGAGGAGGAGAGGAGGAGGAGGAGGAGGAGGAGGAGGAGGAGGAGGAATGAGAGAGGAGGAAGGAGAGGAGGAGGAGGAGGGAGGAGGAGGAGGAGGAGGAGGAGAGAAACGTCCCCACGACCCGCACGCGACCACCCTGCGACGCGCCCGGGGCATGCGGGCCACGCTTGCCCGCCGCCCGCCGTCCGGCGCAGGCTGCGCTGCGCACCAGCTGCGCTGCCCCTCGCTGCGTTCCTCCAGCTCTCGAGGTGGGGAGGACCGCGCGGGGGCTGGAGGAATGGAAGCACGAGGAGGTGCATGGTGTTGGGGAGGCGAAGCTGAAGAAGGATGAGGATGAGGAGCACGTAGATGGCATGAAGGACAAGGCGGAGGACGAGGGCTCCGACTGGAGGACTTTCCAGCTGTCAGGAGCCAGGAACCAGGAGGAGGGGCGTGAGGGATGGAGGAAGAGGGAGGAGGAGGAGGAGGAAGAGGAGGAGGAGGAGGAGGAGGAGGAAGAGGAGGAGGAGGACAAGCTAGGTGCGCCCGCGTCTTATCTGACATCCTACCCCTGCCTCCCGTCCCTTACCATGGCGTAGATCCCCTCTCTTCTCGCACAGTCGGATGTCGAGCAGGGCAATGATACCGAAAGGGTACGCGATCCGCAAAGCGTAGTATCAACCTAGCATTGCATTGCATGCCGTGGCATGGCACTGGAAATGACGCCAGCGCTGCAGCGGGAGCACGATTCGGAACGAGCGGAAGCGCGGAAATGAGGCCAGCGCTGCAGCGGGAGCACGATTCGGAACG